CCTTCTTCCACTAAGGAGGAAACTTGTGCTGTCAAGTTTAAATTCATATAGCTTCATCCTCAACTTTCCTGTCATGTTCCAGAATCTCTGCATGGATACTTCTTCAATATATCAACACTGGCATCTCAAATGTTAAGACTCTCAAAACAATCCGTGTCTCTCTACTAACAAAAATATAAGTAAATAAGTAAAAACAACTAACTTTTTCTCATTTCCTACATCCATGATTTGCATGACTTTTATTTCAGTTACTCAAGATTTAAATTCATCTCTTACTGCTCCAGTAAGTTAAACCCTATTGATTCCATCTTTGAATTTCTGCTTGTATTTGTCCCCAGATGTTTTTATCTTGATCCCGGCTTTCTGGATCTCTTGCTTGATGACTGTACTGGTCTCCTCTCCTCCCCTTGTAACCTCTCCCCTTTCAGTCAATCCCATACTGCCACATTAATTAATTAATACAAGGCACAGACCTAATCATCACCCATATTCTCTAAACAAATCAACAAAAATTTTCAATAACTTCCCAAGTCATGTTGAATTAAAAGTGAAATCACCAAAGTAAGAGTCAATGTCCTCTTTAAAGACTTTGAATTGTAAAGTCTCTTTATGTTGTGAAGAGTTCAACATATATTTACAGTCATTATTCCCTTTTTGTATACCTTGTGCTGCATGAAAACTTACTCAAGCCCAGAGACAGTTCAGACACCAGGACCTTAAATATATACTAGGCAATCTTCCCCTCTCTAGCTAAGATCTCTGCTAGGGTAATCACATGCATCCTTTAAGATCCAGCTCAAGTGCCCTCTTGTCTATGAATGAAACTTTCTTTCTCTTCCCTACGAACCCTCGTAGAATGTTACGTTGTAGCTCTTGTCTAGTCTTTATGACATTCTATCTCACATTATAATATTTGGTATTTGATCTTCAATCTAAATTCATTCAACACGTGCTATAAGCAAAGCACTTTGAAAGGTGTGTTAGGGTTATAGTAGAGAACAAAACAGATTCACTCCCATCAAAAAGCAAAGAGAAAAAAGTCTTTAAAAAAAAAAAAAGTGTGATGGAGGATGTAGAGTCATTCAGGCAGTTGAATGAACTCAAGGACCAAATAAGATAATGACTAAAAATTGTCATTTGGATTTAGTGTGATGGAAGTAACTGATACCTTAGCAAGACCTGGCATGATAGAAGTGAAGAGGATTGGGAGTGGGTGGGAAGAAAGAAAACGGAGGCAGGAAGTTTGAAGTTCAGGAAACATGTATGAAGGGAGTGGTGGCTGGAAAAAGAAGTAGGATCAAAGGGAAGTTTTTGTCAATTTATTTATTTTAAGGTGGGAAATTTCAGCACCTGTAAATATTAAAGCTTCCAGTAAAGAAGCTGAAGCTTCTTTATGCTGAAGAATCAGCATTTCTGGAACTGCCAAAAGAAGTGAGGCGTAAGCATAGGTGGAGGAACTGGCCCTTCTGGGAGAAGGAAAACCTCCTGCACTGCCTGTGGCAGAGAAGGACCTGAATCAGCCCCAGATTCAAGGAGAATTGCAGGTGTCTATGTGAAGTTGAGGAAGGCATGCCCTCTCCTTCAGTATATAATTCACAGAATAATTTCTTTATTTCTCATTTAATCATAAAGGTGATTCTTACAATTAAAAAGCAAAGAATTTAGAATAAGTAAAATTTTTTTATTTATTGCATGAATATTCTGATAGCCAAATGATGGAAATCTAAGCTTAGATACAAGCTTAGTTATCATTTTAAAACAGTTTATTAACATATTGATTTAAAGATTTGAAAGCTTTATGGTAAACCATTATTTGGCAGCTGGAAACTGCTGCCACAAGACTGATAACAGAAGGCAACCCCTAAATTCCTCTTTTCATATTACTTGGATGCTTTTACAGGATAGTAGTGAGAATTTTAGAAGCAACTCTTCCTTCCAAGTATCAATAGTATCTTCTCTTAACTGATAAATTTTATGAAAATAAATATGGAGATTTTCCTCTGTTGTTTATATGAGATAATCTCCCTTATTTTCTCATTTATATTAAAAATGGCCACCTTTAGTGTAGGCAACTCTTAATTCAAACAATTTTTATTTACCATCTAGTACGTGCACACTGGCTTAACAACTGTAAAAGAACTGCAGAGATAACAGTAACAGTACGCTTCTCCCTCTGGGGGAAGCCGTGTTGATCACTTCTAGGCAAACACGTTTAAGACCCCATTTCAGCTGATAAGTTTCAGAGCTGGTTCCAGAATTTATGCCCTCTAAATCCTACTAAGTTTTTTTTTTAATACTCCATGCTTCCTCTTCATAAATCGTCTAATAGATCATGTGATAATTGTAATAAAACTATCACATAATTTCAAGCCTCTTCCCGTACAAATAGAAGATAAAATTCATGACTTGTTTGTGGACTTAGACAAGGCTATGTAGTTTTGGTTGAAATTATAAATGACAAACAAATGGGGAAATCAGTATGCAAAGCTACAGTCAGATGCACATAATTTTTAAATATTACATATCATTGTCATTAATGTCCCTATTATAAAACAATAAGTTATTATACACTGCCAAAAAACACGATTCAAATTCAAAAGAATTATGCAAATTAAGGAAATGGAAAAGAAAAATGAGAGCTGCACTATTTAACATTAGCTCCTGGAACACAATCATCAGTCAATATCCTGATCCATCCAGATCAGACAATTGCCCTGATCATGTTAATTTAAGTCTATTTTCATTCATAATTTATATTCTGTATCTAAAGAGAAAATTTTAAAATGCTTTATATACCTAGTAAGTCTGAGTGATCCTTAAAACATGTGAGCCACGTGATGTCCCTTATTGGCTAAAATCTCTTTAATGGTTTCCATCTCACTCAGAATGATAGTCAAGATCCTACTGAGCTCTACCAGGCTCTCTATGATAGACACCACTTTATCCTTCCCATTCTCATCTCTTAGTTGTCCACTCTTTACTCTTTTCCTGCCAGACTGCCTTTCTTGACAATCTTTCAACATACCGAGTATAAGGAGTGTCTCTTCACCCATCTATATCGGTATGGTTCCCTCTCTCCATTTAGGTTTGTGCTTCATTTACTCCTTGACAGAAACACCTTCCTCAGACATATCTGAAACAGTCTCCCATCATTTTCTATTTACTCTGCTATATTTACTTCTTAGTACGTATCTTTATTAACATATACAGATGACTCTTGAACAATGTGGGTTTGAACTGCATGGGTCTACTTATACTTTTTTGCAGGACTCATACCTAAGTTAGCTAAGAACAGAGACTTGAGCATATGCATTGCATCAAGATATACTTGAAATTATCTCTCCTTTAAGCTGGAGGCTAGTGTTCTCTCAATACATAACAATAATAATCTGTCTGGTCTCTAATGCTAATGCTAAGAAATAACTAAATCCCTGAATCATCCAGGCAGAAGAACTTTAAGCTTAGCTCCTTTCTGAATAAGACTTTTTACTAGAAGAGATGTGATCAGACTGAAGGACAAAAGCATCTATCCCTCTGTGATGAAAACTGAAAAAACCCAATAGAAGTTGCTCTATAAAAAACCTGGATATGGAGGAGTTAAGTTATACTCCAGGAGAGTTGTGGAAGTGATAGCCGTGACAGAGAGGTAAAGGATCCCCAAACTTCTATAAATAACTAAGCAATTATACTGAGAGATGTAACCACTGTTCAAGACAACTGGGAGACTTCTTTTTTTTTTTTTTCCAATTTTTTTTATTCTTATGTTAATCCCCATACATTACATCATTAGTTTTAGATGAAGTGTTCCATGATTCATTGTTTGTGCATAACACCCAGTGCTCCATGCAGAATGTGCCCTCCTCAATACCCACCACCAGGCTAACCCATCCTCCCACCCCCCTCCCCTCTAGAACCCTCAGTTTGTTTTTCAGAGTCCATCGTCTCTCATGGTTCGTCTACCCCTCCGATTTCCCCAGCTTCATTCTTCCCCTCCCGCTACCTTCTTCTTCTTCTTCTTTTTTTCTTAACATATATTGAATTATTTGTTTCAGAGGTAGAGATCTGAGATTGAACAGTCTTGCACAATTCACAGCGCTTACCAGAGCACATACCCTCCCCAGTGTCTATCACCCAGTCATCCCATCCCTCCCACCCCATCCCCCACTCCAGCAACCCTCACTTTGTTTCCTGCAATTAAGAATTCCTCATATCATTGAGATCATATGATACATGTCTTTCTCTGTTTGACTTATTCTGGGAGACTTCTTTGAAGCAGGAGATCAACACAAACCCATTAGTCACTCACGGGGACACTCAGGGCAATGGAGATCCCAAAGGCCAGCATGGCTTCAGCTGACAGAGGAATGGGACTAACATTAAACTTTCCACAATGGTGACAAATGTTCATAGTAGACCCTTTGACTGTTGGATCTTTCCATTTACATAGAAATTGTATTTTAATTAAACTTCACTTTACACATGGTAGTCAACATTCAGTAGTTAAGATTAATGTAAGCAAATAGATTGACTCTGAGTGTCAAGAGCTTTTAGAGGTAGATCCAAGCCCAGAGAATACAACAGAAAAGAAAGGAAACGACTTTCATGACCCAAGGGTTATTGCAATTACTTAATGTTACTACAATTACTTACTAATATTTTATATGTTTAAAGTTTTGATTCTGGAAAAGTTATCAAGAAATCTTCATTCAAAAACAGTTTATGTGAGAATAATAGAAATCCGGGTATTTATATAACTTATTAGGTAAGAAATTTTCTTCTATTCCTGAAAAATTATTTGAATTATTTTTTTAAATCTTCAAATCCTGAAAAAAAGGATACCCAAATGCTGGACTTTTTATATAAAGGTGTTAGTCATGATTTGCAAAACTGAGAACATTCCAAGTAAGCACGTCCAAGCAATAAACAAGTGGCAAGAGACTTGAGAACTCTAGAATTGATGGCAAAAGAATGATCAGCAAATGATAAACAAATGTCCTGACCTGCTGAGTCTCCCAGTCCAATCTCTCCCACTCCCGATGTCCTTGATGTTATCTATTTCTTGCAAAGCTAAAAAATAAAATAAAATAAAATTAAGGAAAGAAAAGTAGTGAGAAATCAAAGTAATTCCAAATGTTGTAGAGTTAAACAAAGTTTCTACTACAAAACTTGGGAAGAAATATTAAATAATTTAATCATGACAACTTTTTCTAGATCAGATTCACAGCCACACAGTCAGATGCATAAGACTGTGCCAGTTAGTGTTGATGAATGAATAATGAATGAACAACTAAAAAACAAATTTTATAAATGACAGTCAAGATATAATGACAGTTGAAATGTAAAAATGCGAACCAGTTATTTTGGAGCTATATCAATTAAATCGCTTTTAAAAATCTTTATATTATTAATTTATTCATATAAGCACATGCATGAATATGAACCCTGGGCCTAGTTTTATAGAGAAAAACAATTGTAACCTTCTTTATAGTCCTTGATGGTTAACTTAAAATACACTTATAAGGCAACATTACTTACAGCTAGAGTACTATGGAAAACATCCTAATGGGCATTAAGATTTATTAAATACAGACTATTACTTACCAGGGAACAGTGCTATGTTATACTAGGACAGTAAGTTGTATAAGAATAAAAGTTTACAAACTCACTGGATCATTTCTAGATTAAAAACAGTATGAATAAAAACAGCAAAATAAAAGCAGAAACACCTTATTTATACCCAGTTGCTCTTTCATAGTCATACTCCAGTGTGATAAAGACCAGGTTTGTTTTTTGGGGGTTGGGGAGTTTTGTTTTGGTTTGGTTTTAGAGAGGGAAGGGGGGAGGGGCAGAAGGAGAGGGAAAGAGAGAATCTTAAGCAGGCTCCATGCCCAGTGCAGAGTAGGGCTCCATCTCACAACCTTGAGGTCATAACCGGAGTCAAAATCAAGAGTCCGATGCTAAACTGACTGAGCCACCTAGGTGACTCAAAGACCATGGTTTAATCATTGGTCCTATGACAGAAGAGCTATATGTCTTTGGAAATTTATCAACCCTTGTGGAAGCTTATTTTCTTGATCTATAAAATGGTTTCATTTCATTTTGTCATGAATTCAGAAATACCCCCAAAATCAATACGTACAACTATTTTATCATGATTTTATTATTTCCTTACAGATGTAGAATAATTTTTATAAGGATAAGTTCATCACCTATTCTACCTTTTTAAGCTTTGGTCCCCAAAATGTTTAGTTCTATCGTTTCAAAATGTTTAAACATGTGTTCATGATTTTTGTGACACTGCAACATGATTATTAAACAGTATAAATATAAATTATATAAATTTTATGCCCTGGGATGGTGGAGTTACCTGTGTCATTAACTGGATTATGTAGTTGGTATTTTTAAAAGACTTAAAAATGATACTTTTAGGAAAATAGAATTCTACTTCTAGAATATTGGTCTTACATACTATAATCACAGGTTTGGAGGTGATCTAGGCCCAGACTATGCATAACTTTTGATTATTAGTTAATAAAGACTTTTCATTTTTAAAAGCCTCAATAATTTTGGGTGACTTCTGGAGTACCTAAATTCTTTTAAAGTATATAAAACAGTAAAAAGAAATAATACACCAAGACCTGCTGGGATTTATCCTAGGAATATAAAATTGGTTTAACACTTAAATATCAAATAATGGAACATACTATATTAATAAAATATAAAATCATACAATCATTCAATAGATGTGAATAACATCTGACAAAAGTCCAATACCTTTTCATGATAAAAACACTCAATAGCCTAGCAATAGAAGAAAACTTCCTTAATCTAATACAGAGAGCATCTACAAAAAAACCTACAACTACCATACTTAATGGTAAAAGACTGACTGGTTTCCCCCCAGATCAGGAATAAAACAAGGATGTACACTCATACCACTTCTATTCAGCATTGTAGTGGAGATTACAGCCAGGTTTGTTAATAAAGAAAAAGAAATAAAAAAAATCCAGATTGAAAAGGAAGAAATAAAGGCATCTATTTATAGATAATATTATTTTTATTTAGAAAATCTAAAGGAATTCGCTGAAAACACTATTAGGAAGGAAGGAAAGAAGGAAGAAAGAAAGAGAGAGAGAACGAAAGGGAAAGAGAAAAGAAAGAAAAAGAAATCTGGTCTACCTTCCTGTTTCTTGCCACAGAGCTTCAAAAACTTTTGGAATTCACTGAGTGATAGATATGCCTTTGTTATGCTATGACTTGACTCATAACAGAGCCCCTAGATAGCTTCAGGATGGGAGAGGTTGTGAAAAAAAGCAATCATGTGATTCGAGGACTGGAACTTTTCAGGACCCTACCATCCCAGACTCTGAGGAGAGGAGAGGGGCTGGAGATTGAGTTTAATCACAAGGTTAATGATTTAATTAATCATGCCTATGTAATGAAACCTCAAGAGAAGCTCTAAAACAATGAGACTCAGAGAGCTTCCTGGTTGGTGAACATATTGATGTATGAGAGGGTGGTACACCCTGACTCCACAGAAGCAAACTCCTGTGCTTGAGACACTTCCAGATTTGTCCTATGTATTTCTTTATCTGGGCTATTCATTTGAAGCCTTTATAATAAAACATTAATAATAAGTATAGCAGTTTCATGAGTTTGATGAGTCATCCTAGTGAATTATTGAAGCTGAAGGAGTGTGAGAAATCCCAATTTTGTAGCCAATTCTGCCAGGCAGAAGTACCCATTGCCTGGGGACCCCACTTGCAGTTACCTTCTGAAGTAAGGACAGTCATTGGGGATCTTACTCTTTAATTTCTGGGATCTGATGCTAATTCCAGATAGTGCCAGATTGAACTGAATGATAGGACACCCAGTTGACATCTGAGAATTACTATTGGAACACAATAGTCTTTTCAACAAATGGTTTGGGGAAAACTGGATATCCATATGCAAAATAACAGAATTGGACTCCTACCTATAAATAAAGTAAAAAGGCAACCTATAGAATAGGAGAAAATATTTGCAAATCATACATCTAATAAGGACTTATATCCAGAATATATAAAGAACTCTTTCAACTCTATAATAAAAAGTTAAGCAACCCAATTAAAAATGGGCAAAGAATCTGAATAGGCATTTCCCCAGAGAAGATATATAAATGGCCAATTAACACATGAAAGATAATAACATCATTTAGCCATTAGGAAAATGCAAGCCAAGACCACAATGATATACCACTTCACATCCACTAGGATGACTAATAAAAAAAGATAGGTAATAATAAGTGCTGATGAGATTGTAAAGAAATTGTACATCAAATGTACATCAAATGTAAGAATGTGAAATTCTGCAGGTGCTTTGGAAAATAGTTTGGCAGTTCCTGAAAGGTTAACTATAGAGTTACTTTATGACCCAGCAATTTCACCCCAAATACATACACAAAAGAAATGAAAAATGTCTGTCTATATAAATACTTGTACGTGAATGTTTATAGCAGCATTATTTATAAGAGCCAAATGAGGCAACAACTATAATGTCCATCAACTGATGAATGAATAAACAAAATTTAGATATATCCATACAATGGAATATTATTCAGCCATAAAAAGGAATAAACTACATGTTAAAACATGGATGAATCTGGAAAAGATACCAAAAGAAAGAAGCCGGTAACAAAAGACTATCTATTGTATGATTCCATTTATAAGAAATGCTCTGAATAGGTAAATCTATAGAGACATAGAGACAAATTAGTGGTTACCTAGAGTTACAGAGGAAGCAAATTTGGAGTGGGGGGTGACTACTAATGAGTATGGAGTTTTTGTCAGATTAAAATGTTCTCAAATTATATTGTGATGATATTGAACAACTCCTTGATTTACTAAAAAACACTGAATTGCACGCTTTAAATGAGTAGATTGTAAAGTATATAAACTATAACTCAACAAAACAGTTTTTTACAAACTACATAGTACAAAACAAAGATACATTAATATAATTTTGTTCCCATTTTTAAATGGAAAAGTACCCCCATCTGCCTTGAAAAATCTAAACATGTTAAGATAATACAAAAGAAATTTTATATTTTGATAGACTATTTCTTGACAAATAACATTAATATTAATATAACATTAATAATAACATTAATGGCAGGCCAAGTTTAAATACCAACAATAAAATAATAGGAAGATATTCTACTTTTAAACTAGTCGTCAGAGATTAGTCTTTCAATAGAGTTCAAGTATTATAATACAATCCAAGTATAATTGTTACTTTATCAGCACTGATAGTGAAGGGAAAAATTTATTAATCCAAACTATGGCAATAGTTCAGAATACAATTCGTTAAAAGTTGGAAATCACATAGATACTTTAGTGATTTTAGAATTCTCCATTTAAGAATGACTGTTATAAAATTTAGCTGCCAAACAAAACTAGGTAAGTATATGAGGAAACATATACTTTAAAAATATCAGATTTCAGTGACATAAAATTGAACTTTCCCAATACTACCTATTTAACTTTTAATTTTAATATGAATTCATTAAAAAATAGAGGCTACATTATCCTGTAAGACCATTTCACATTTACTTAATTTCATAATGGTAAGAGTGATATGATTAAGCAGCTTGATCCATTCCAGTTATACAACCTACAGTGGCTAATCCCTTTATTTAATACATGTTTGACTATTCATGTATATTTTCTGCTACTGAAATTTAAATAAGGCTCCCTTCCCTTCTCTAAAGTGGGTGCACACATTGCTTTAACTTAAATTGGGGATTTGCTGAATAACAGCTATCTATTTTCTCATCTATTCCACAAAAAGTTACTGAGTACTTATCATCAGATATTGATTATGTTATAAAGTAAAATACAGAGATAAATAGCCCATGTGTTTTGGGATGATCCAGAATTGACTATGAGTTCAGGGCTCGACTTATAGGCGGCAAAACCTTTCTCAACCTTAGCTTCCTCATCTTTAAGGTGATAATTAATTGAACTAATGAGTTTACAGAACCCAAAAATCAACATTAATTTCTCTTTTTTGGTTTACTCTGAAGGCTA